TTGTTCTTACTCTTCATTGCAAGCTCATCAATTTTCTTTTCCAGATATTCCCTCTTTTTATTCCTGAAATGCCTGCTGGTTTCACGTCTTATATTTTTCAGATTATCCCCATTTATTTTGCTTGGATCCTGTAACCATTGCAATTTGGCTTGCTTTCTTGCGTCTAATAATTCTGAGCATCATTCATCGAACCATGGCTTATGCTTCTTCAGTTAATAATAACCTAGACTCTCCTTGGCCAAAATTTTTTTATATTTTCTCTAATAGTTTCCCAAGCTTTATTAACATCCACCTCAGTTTCAAAGTTTTCCAAAGCCGCAAACCTATTTGAGATTTCAACACAATACTGCTCTTTACCCTGTACCTCATTCAATTTCTTGAGATTAAACCTCTCCATATGAACTCTGTGCGTTGTTTGTTTGCTCACTGCCAGTCGTTTCCTAAACTTTGCACCACCAGGTAGTGGTCAGTATCACAATCTACTGCCCCGAATGATCGGACATCAAGTATACTTGAGTGTCGTCTCCTGTCTATCAAAATATGGTCCATTTGATTGTGTATCTTCCCATCAGTAAATGTCCAAGTAAAGTCATGGATGTTATGATGTGGGAACATTGTACTTTTGACAGTAAGATTTTTTGATGTGGCAAAGTTTACTACTCTAACTCCATTATCGTTCCTAATTTCATTCAAACTCTCATTCCCAATCGTTCGTTTGAAAATGTCTTCCCTTCGTACTTTGGCACTGAAATCTCCTAACAAAATTTTCATAGGGTGCTTCTGGAATTTATCAAATACATGTTCTATTTCTTCACAGAACCTGTCCTTTATGTGATTAATTTTTATCTTCTGTTGGGGCATGAACATTCATAACAATATCACACCAGCGACCTTTTAGTATTGTAACGTGTCTGGAGTAGATACTTCCATGGCAACGCAATAACAGTGGGCTACTGCATAGACAATGACGAAACAACGAACGCGTTTCCCCGGAGATGAACAACAGAAGGCCATTGAGTACCAACAGATGAGACGAAACACGTTACCGCCGTAATCTACAGAGATCGTTCCCGAAGCAACAGATTGCCAAAGAAGTGAGATCGAACACTGGTGAATGGTGTCTCGCATCTGATCCACTTAACACCTACATAAGTCGAGAGCGACAGAGCTAACACGGGTTGAGATCTAGTCGCCATACAAGACGGTTGGAAGGTAGCCGCCGCGGAATACAGTTAAGGTGATAATTGTACGGTGTATAAGTGTGAGTGTCCGATAAAGATTTGCCGAATCTGAGACCCACATGAATTTATTTGTCGCGTGACATACCCAACACGTGACAGTATTATACATGTATATGATATCCTATCACTAAAGAACTCTACCCTCTTAACTGCTGATACGATTCTCTTATGTATGAAAAAACCTGTAGCTAATTCATGATTTTCATTCACCTTTCCATAGAAAAATGTATAGTCTCCTGCTGGTTTGATGCCACTTCCATCCCATCTGACCTCTTGTATGCCTGCTAAATCTAACTTATATTTTAAGATTTCCTCTTCCACTGCTGCGAGCGAACCTGCCCTATACAAACTTCGAACATTCCAAGTGCGAAATCTGATATCTATTCTTATATGTACTAACAGCTGGAAAACTTCTTTACTAAGCAATTCTCCTTTTAAAACATTAACACCAACAGTTTTGATAACTTTTCACTAGCTTGGGCAATAATGTGGATACATCATGCAATAAAAAGAGTCCAGGAAAAGTGCTCATTCCTTGAAAAACTTTTGACATCCGAACCATAACAAGGAAAATATCCATACCCTCTTCGTGAATCTGTCCTTGATTCAACAACAACTCCTTCCACCATGCCCCTTGGATCTCCTTTCAGATCCATCAATTCAGCTTGCAGTACAATTGCCTCACTCAGCTCATCAAGGTTAGTTCCAGCAAGGGCTGATATTGGAATTGCTTGAACATCACCTCCTCTATCCTCCACTTGAATACCATGTGGTATTAGCATATCTTTTGTACACTCCTGAAATGGTACCAAATCTAACAATATAATCCAAAGCACTTTCTGGAGCAGCACAGACTGGCTTGTAATCATCTATTCTGTAAGTGGTATATTTTCTGAGGTACTGTATTAAGACAATAATGTAAAAGTTGCTGTAAACTGCAAAGTTGTATGAGCTGACATGATAATGGTAAGTATAGAATTCTAATACATTCTTCCTATATATGAGGGTTATTCAGAAAGTAACCTCCTGTGTGCTGTTAACAAAACAAGCAAATAGGGAAAAAATTTATTATGTACAGAAAATACATACATACTTAAGCTACTTCTCAACATAGTCAAAACTGGAACTCAGGCACTAGTCATCAAAGAATAAGTTTCTGTATGCCTGTGAGCTCAGCCATTATTCTGACTTCTTCCATCGACTCCTCATTAATGTTGAAGCTCTGTGATCCTAACCAGTTCTTCAGGTAGGTAAACAGGTGGTAGTCCCTCAGAGCAAGATCAGGGCTCCCAGTTGAAATGCTCCAGCACTCTCAAATATGAGCAGTTGTATATGGATGCACACTCGTGGATGAGCACTATGTCAGCATTCCACAACTTTTGTTCTGAATGGTCCCATGCATATTTCTTAGTAATTCACAATACACTTCTAACATTATTGTGGTCCCTTGTTGCATGAATTCCACCATCATCACTCCTTTCCTATCCCAGAAAACAGCTGCCATCAGTTTTCTGGCAGAAGTTTGTTTGAACTTTGTTGACTTGCCTGGTGAATGTGTGTGCATCCACTGCTCTGAGTGCTCTTTGGTTTCAGCACTGACAAATGAAACCCAGGTTTCGTTGGCTGTTACTTGTACAAAGTGATTAAAAAATTCATTGCCATCTTTGTGGTATCTCTCTAAGAAAGCCAAAGGTGAAGCCATTCTCCGCATTTCATGTGCACCCATGAGTATTTTCGCACTCCATCATGGGCAAAACTTGTGATAGCCTAGCCTACTTGTGATAATGTCAGAGAAGAATGCATGAAATTTGTGGAAATTCACATGAAAGGTCTGAAATTTTGAAGCACCATCTTTCACAAATTTCATGGTCAACACTTTGAATAAGGTCATCAATCACTATTGCTGGATCACTGACCACTTCGTTCTTCATCATGAACATTTATTTGCCCATCTGCGAACATTCTACACCACTGTCTTACAGTTCCTTCACTCATCACATTTCAGCTGTAAACCATCACGCACAATTCTTGATGGATTTCCACAGCACTCACATTTTTAGCACGAAAAGACCAGATAAGAGTGTGAATTTCACAGCTGCTGGGATTATCAATCGCAAAACACCCAAATACAAGCAGCATTCAGAATGCAAATCAGAACACAAAACACTGTGAAACAACACCCACAAAAAGGCAAATACAATAACAGTGCATCTACCAAATGAAATGTTTAGACTGCCGGGTCAAATACACAAGACAAAAAGGCAGAGCATTCTACACTAGATACAAAGACCATAAACATGCAATTAGACATAATAACAGCAACTCAGGATACTGAAACCACATACTAAACAAAGGACATAAATATGAAACCATAACAGATACTATGGACACACAGAAAAGGAAAACACTTAAACCCACTGTAAAAATACCACATACACAAAATCATCAGATAACCTGCAAATGAAAGACACAAACACCAACACACACAATCCAATATCCAAAGGATTACAGGAAACAAACACCAGATAGTAGAACAACACACACCCTACATCCTATGTAGCAACACAACCGGACATCATGGAAACAACTACAACAAATGACCATGATGGCCAGCAACAACACAACAAACTCTTGCCCCAGCAAGAACATTCAAGACAGCCACAGCCAAGAAACCAAGCAAAACTGTAAGTAACATCATATACTATACTGTAACTGAATATACATATGTACCTTAAAAGAAGCTCTAACATAACACACTATATATTACAGGTAAGCCAACCACGTGCAGCTCAAGGAAACCTAAATAAAACCCACACAACCAGAAGTAATCTGAGGCAACTACATAAGAGAAACAAATCAGCATTAGAGCGAGCAGCAGATTCCTTAATCACAACAAGCTGTACACCTGAAGACGCCAGTTAGGCCAAAATATATACTGTTCCATAAAGAAAAACGAGTAAATAGTAGCCAATGTTTGCTCATAGACAGCATGAAAGCAAAATGCAAAGTCAGACCATCCTGCAGAGACAAAAACAAACACTAGGTGACTAGCTATGTGATGGTTTACAAGGCAATGAGTCACATAATGCTACATCACATGCATGAGCTCTCCCTCAATCCTACATTAGTTGCCCAAAATAAGCAGAGGTTACCTTCAGAGTAGCCCTTGTATTTAATAATATATGATGAAGAGTGATGGTTTACACAACAGATAATACATATAGGTGTATACAATTTTAAGTAGTCAATTAAGTCAATAAATGTTAAAATGGGATATTTTGGATGATACTTAAATTCTTTATTCACAGTGCAGTAATTTGGAGAAAACTGCATCTGTAATATACAGACAGCATTTTAAAACATGTGAAAATAAATTTATTCAATGTCCATAAGAAGAAAAATAAACACAGAAGAGCGTTTGAAAATCAACCAACAAATGTATATCATATGACCATGAAATTAACACACACGCTCACAGAAATAAAACACCCCATTTGACATTTTGCTAGAAAGCTGATCGATTGTTACCCAAATCGAGCAAAATACTACAAGCCAATGGAGAACAAAAAGCTCAGACCATATCTTCATGCAGATAATTTACATGAGGCTTGTTCAAATGAAACCTGTTCAGCAATTGTTCTGGCTGAAGAAATAGAGGCTGTTAAAAATAGTCCCTTTGGTCATTGATTTAGACCCATCACTGTGCACTAGCCAATGGCACCTCTCTACAAAGACTTCCCCGGGCTGCTGGAAACAATGCATCACCATCATCTTATTCAGACCCAAATCTACAGATCTCCAGCACTTTTATAAGGGGCCCAAACACATGGAAGTCACATTCTGGCAGGTCCCAGCTGTATGAGGATGGTCCAACACATTTTAGCACATGGAGTATGGTGTATCATGGATAATGCATCCCACATGGGTACAGGTGTTACTATGCATGTGACAACACGCATTTTTAGCATGCTCATCTGAGACATGCATTTCTATACACAGCATGCATTCTACAGTGATTCTGCCTGGTTGGTAATCCTTGGTACTACAGAAGTAAATGACAGTTCATTGGTCCTGTGCAGATGGATTCTGACCCTGTAATACCAGTATTTCAACAAGTTTCCATCTACTCTAACAAGCCCAGTCCATTGCACAAACCATGTATACAGCCACATGGTCACCAGCCATATTCACTAGCATCACAGTGAGTGGGTGTCATTTGAACTACCCTCATAAAAAGAAAAATCCATAAAGATATCTGAAAGAAAACTGTCCATTCCACATTTCATTGTACAGTTCAATAATTCTTGAATGCAAATTTTTCCAGATTAGTAACCTAGTACTATATAAGAGTACACTTAATAAAAACTATACAAATCCCACTTAGTATTCTGTAATTGAAGGTCTATAACTGTTTAAAAGCTACTCTTAAATCATGAAAAATAATAAAGAAATAAGATTTTCTGTCATAGTTAACAGCAACTAATTTAAGCAGTGCAGACAAGCAATTCAAAATCTAAAAAAAGTATTGTAATCGTTCATTGGTTCTGCTAGCTCCGGTAGAGAAATTCAGCTCATCTCAGGCCATGTTGACTGGCTATGACTTGGGTGATTGGTGGGGGGGGGGTGCTTCAGGCATAGGAAGGAAAACACTCAACACCAATTAGCTGTTTTAAGTCTTTATTTGTATCACACTATTCAATGGTAACTGCACCATAGTGATCCACTTAACAGCTTCATGGATTGAGGCTCCTTTACTGTTCACTAAGACACACGAGTCAATAGGCACCACAGAGTGTATATACAGGGATCAGGACACATGTACCCCTGGTGATTGTAAATTTCGGAGTTCTATGCCAAGCACGCTCTGAATGGTAAATATCTGCCCTGGTTACCCAAAAATTTGGGCAAAGGACATCCCACTTTAGATTATGATTGGCTGCACCGGGCAGACTGGGAGGTTGCTTAATCTTTCTCCTCCAATTAGAAAAAGAAATATCAACACATGTAGAGTTTAGGGGGAACTTTGCCACCTGCTGCATGGCTGTCAAACTGGAATTTGGGGTACCATAAAATGACTGCTAAAATTATGACTTCCCATGTCAATGTTTAGAATTTCTAAAGAACCCGGTCTCATGTTATGCATTAACTTGACCGATTTACTTGACCCAAGCCACCTACTGCATGCCTCAAGGGGGAATTCTCCAATTGTGAGAGAAAAGTGAGGAATTTCACTGAACCCTAACCATACACAAAACATCAATTGACCATCCCATAAATCTGACAGTTAACATTATGTATTCTGATAGAAGATTTTCATGGTCATAATGAAAATCATTCTTATTGGCCTCTTCAAAACTGCACTCATTTAGCTCAATCTAGGCCACTGGTACTCAAATCTGTAACATCTGCTAACCATGTATTCATCATATTTCATCTGTTTTCAATACACTACCACAACAGGCAAGTATTACCATTCATAAAACATATCTAACAGAAATAGAAAGACTGTTTACCTACAATGTCTGCTTCCTTCTTGTCAATCTTGTTTATAGCTACAATGATAGGAACTGAAAAAAAAAGGAAAACAATTATTATTTCAATATAATATACAAAAAGAAGAGTTAAAAATTAATTTGGAAAATTACAATTCATATCCTTTAACAAATATTTGCCATGTTAGGTGGGTCCCTTGTCACGACAGCATGGCGCGTCCTCAGGTTGTAGATGGACGAGACACCTTCCAGGTTTGGAGGGAAGCTGCGAATATACTGAATAAGCAGTTGGAACAACCAACAAGGGGGGGGGGGCCCTCCATCTTGGGGGTTGGGCGTGGGGCTAACAACTCCTCACCGTAAATAATAATCTTGTTACAAAAGTTCTTGAGAAGCCTCAGACCTGGATGGATCCTCTGGATAAACGACCTAAGCTAAAGAAAACGGACATAAGATTTGGTACATGGAATGTTAGATGTATGTATAGGGTAGGTTCGTTCACGGCAGTGGTGGAAGAAATCTTAAACTATAACTTAGATTCAGTGGGAGTATAGGTCAGATGAGGCAGAGGTGGCATCACACCAGCAGGTGAATATACATTTTTCTATGGAAAGGGGAATGAAAAATCATGAATTAGGTACAGGTTTCTTCATACACAGGAGAATCATATCAGCAGTTAAGAGGGTAGAGTTCTTTAGTGATAAGATATCATATACGTGTATAACACTAAAAGGTCGCTGGTGTGATATTGTTATGAATGTTCACACCCAAACAGAAGATAAAAATTAATCACATAAAGGACAGGTTCTATGAAGAAATAGAACATGTATTTGATAAATTCCAGAAGCACCCTATGAAAATTTTGTTAGGAGATTTCAATGCCAAAGTACGAAGGGAAGACATTTTCAAATGAACGATTGGGAATGAGAGTTTGAATGAAATTAGGAACGATAACGGAGTTAGAGTAGTAAAATTTGCCACATCAAAAAATCTTACTGTCAAAAGTACAATGTTCCCACATCATAACATCCATGAATTTACTTGGACATCTACTGATGGGAAGATACACAATCAAATGGACCATATTTTGATAGACAGGAGACGACACTTAAGTATACTTGATGTCCGATCATTCAGGGCAGTAGATTGTGATACTGACCACTACCTGGTGGTGGCAAAGGTTAGGAAACGACTGGCAGTGAGCAAACAAACAACGCACAGAGTTCATATGGAGAGGTTAAATCTCAAGAAATTGAATGAGGTACAGGGTAAAGAGCAGTATTGTGTTGAAATCTCAAATAGGTTTGCGGCTTTGGAAAACTTGGAAACTGAGGTGGATGTTAATAAAGCTTGGGAAACTATTAGAGAAAATATAAAAAAATTTTGGCCAAGGATAGTCTAGGTTATTATTAACTGAAGAAGCATAAGCCATGGTTCGATGAATGATGCTCAAAATTATTAGACGCAAGAAAGCAAGCCAAATTGCAATGGTTACAGGCTCCAAGCAAAATAAATGGGGATAATCTGAAAAATATAAGACGTGAAACCAGCAGGCATTTCAGGAATAAAAAGAGGGAATATCTGGAAAAGAAAATTGATGAGCTTGCAATGAAGAGTAAGAACAAAAACATTAGAGACCTGTATAGAGGAATAAATGTCTCTGAGAGGGGATACCAACCTATGAGTAACTTAGTGAAGGATGAGAATGGTGATCTGCTTGAAGATTCTCATAACATTTTGAATAGGTGGAGGAACTACTTCTCTCAGTTACTGAATGTACATAGGGTCAGTGATGTTAGGCAGACAGAACTTGATACAGCTGAGCCCTTAATACTTGTTCCTAGCCCTTTTGAGGTTGAAAGTGCTATTGCAAAATTGAAACGGTATAAATCGCCAGCTATTGATCAAATTCCAGCAGAACTTTTTAAAGCAGGAGGCAAAATATTACGTTCTAAGATCCATAAGCTAATCAATTCTATCTGGCATAAGGAAAAATTGCCTGATCAGTGGAAGGAGTCTATTACTGTACCTGTTCACAAGAAGGGTGATAAAAGTGACTGTAGTAATTATTGGGGGATATCACTGCTATCAACCACATACAAAATTTTTTCCAATATTCTTCTCTCAAGGTTAAGTCCATATACATATATAATTATTGAGGATGATCAGTGTGGGTTTCGACATAACACATCAACTATATATCAGATCTTTTGCATTTGTCAGATATTGGAGAACAAATGGGAATACAATGAGACAGTACATCACATATTCATAGACTTCAGGAAAGCCTATGATTCAGTTAAGATGGAAGTATTGCACAATATTATGATAGAGTTTGGGATACCCATGAAACTAGTTAGGCTGATTAAATGTACTTCTTTTGGCTTGTTTTGGACTTCGTCCATCATCTGGTATGTAAAAGACAAAAGACCACAACATGGATGAAGTCCAAAACAAGACAAAAGAAGTACAGTATACACCATCGTCAGAATCCTTTCAAGTCTATTTGATAAAAATGCGTTTAAACGAAACGTATAGTAAAGTCCGTATAGGTAAACATTTGTCTGATAAATTTCCTATCCAGAATGGTCTAAGACAAGGTGATGCTTTATCACCACTCCTTTTCAACTTTGCTTTAGAATAAGCCATTAGGAAGGTCCAGGAAAACCATGTTGGACTAAAATTAAATGGGAAACATCAGCTGTTGGTCTATAACGATGATGTGAATCTACTGGGTAACAATATACGAGGGTGAGTCAAATGAAAACCTTAAATTTGTAATAAAAAATCGAAATTTCACACCAGTATCCTGTAAGTTGGTAAGTGTACTACAAACAGCGTGCAGAATGGCCTGTAGGTTGCAGCACAGTGCAGATGTAGGAACACTCTCACAGCACCAGTATAAGATGGCTGCCCCACTTGAGACTTGCACCAGAGAAGAACAGCGTTCTGTTATTCAGTTTTTGTGTAG